TTGAATTGAGAAAGAATAAACTAACTTTATTTAAGAAAATACTTGTATCGCTGAAGTTTCTCGGAAATAATTTCTACGAAAAATTAACAAACGAATACAGAGACGTAACAATACTAAAGTAGAGGGCGCCTGGAAAAGACTAGAGTTGCCAGGAAAAGTCACGATCCTTCGAGAATCTCATGACGTGACTTCCGCTGTCGTAACAATAACATTACTTACATAACCAGGTAATTTCAAAGTTACTTAGAGCAAATGTTTCACAAGACTGGTCATCCCCATTCAAACATAAGAGAGGTCGTAAACTCCAGGAATAATTTGACTTATCACTGGAAGACACTGCTATCGAGCTTCATGCGTAACATGAACCTTTAAAGCAATAATTTATGTAGCAAGACCAGCTATTATCTCGAGAGAATGACAAAGAACAAAGGCATGTTACGTCTCCTTTCGTTAGTTGATTTTCCGTAACTTCGTTCCCACGAAACTTTAGCGACACAAGTCCTTTCTTAACAAAACTGGTTTATTCTTTCTGGATATAACTTTACCGATACACTTATTTTCAACAGTCGCGCTATAAAAACGAACGTGCTCAACTTCAACAATACTCTCTGACTGCAGATCAATTACTCACTACCTACACACATTGATTCCGTCACGTTGTGACCATCTTATATATATATACCAGACTACCCTACATCTAGTAATCCCCCGACAATTCCCGAAGGTTCGAGAGAAGGAGTGGTGTGATATAGGCACGTGACCTCGCTGACGCAACACTGCTCCTTCCTTAGTATTGTTCGTCCCGAACAATAGCCACTTACATTAAACCAATAACAATTAACAATAACTTAATTAAATGTACAGAATTTACAAACACAAAATTACAATTCAACAAAGTCTCTTAATTTTACGGTATGTATCTTCTTCCGTACTGGTCTCCGTCTCGTTGACTTCTGCTTCATACTAGGTTCATCTGCTTCATCAGGAAATGTCCTATCGTCGATAACAGTCACATCAGTGGTAGTAACTTCATCAAGAGCTTC